ACATTTTAAGCTCATTCAGACGTCCCAACAATTGCTTCTATGTGCTTGAATAGATTCTAACTATCAGCTTTAAAGAAAAAATGTGTCACAGTTCCTCGATTTCCACCTCTTTCTGTACTGCAAGAGGGCTTGTGGAAAAGGACAGCTAAGCAGGACTCCAGATGTGCAGTTTGACACTCAAGTGGGTGACAGTCAAGCTTCTTCAGCCTCCCCAGCTGCAAGGTGAGTTTATTGCTGCCTTCTTCCCTTAGAAGCAGAGAAATGAAGGTCTCTACAATGCTTTGAAGAACCAAGCACTTCATTAGGGCCAAAGTTACTACTCTTGAGCTGCTCAGGCACAGCCTTCAGCAGAAGAAAAACAAACCTCCTGAACTGGAGAAAGAGAGGGAAAGAAACGCACAGCTGTTTTTGGTTTTAATGTAAGCCACCCAGAACTGAAATATTTATTCAGAAGCAGCAGGGATTAGTGAAATCATGGCTCCAGATCTTCAGAACATGCTCTGCTTACTTTGCCTTTTGTTTTTGCAATTTCTTGGCAGTTAATCAAATGAAGTATCAAACATCCACTGGTGGGCTTCACTGAGCCCTCTGGTTTGACCTGAAGTCAGAAAGAATGCAGTACATGAGTTTAGGGGACTTTGCCACATGCAGTTTTTGTTTTAAGTCAATGTCACCCTGTCTTTTAGACTGCATCCTAATGGTAAGGAGGCAAGTCCAGCCATCCCATTCTTCACATTTTCCTCAGGAACATTAATAACAACACTGACAAGCTACATAACAGAAGCCACAAGACCATTTAGGGTTGTAGATGAGATCATTTATCAGTCCAAACTCCAGAGCACAGAGACAAATCTCCCTCTCTCCATCTCTCCTCATACCAGCAAGCCAGAGCTGTGCTCTGAGAACCACAGAACAGGGATCAATTGGCTGGGCTAGGGCACCAGCACTCCATGCTCCCCAGGAAGCACAAATCCAGTCTGCTCGTATTAGCAACCACCTCTCCAGAGAGGAGAACTCATGTATGTAGGGCTTTAATGAGGCTGAAAAAGAAGTCTCATCAACCCATGCTTCCTGTGACCTGCAGTGGAAAATACTGTATTTTTAGAAGCAACAGAGATGACACACTATTGCTGTGGATGCTGTGACACCGACAGCCCATGACCACACTGCACCCCTTCAGCTTCTGATGGGTGTCAAGCAAGTTTACCATGAGTATGGAGAACAGAAGATGGGATGTGGCCCATAATCTCTGACATCACCTGAAAAATATTACACCCCTATTATTTTAGGGGCACAAGACTCCTACTAGGTTCCTAGTCAAAAAATGTGGGGAAGAAAAAAAAAAACCAAAACCCCAAAACCCAAAAAAACCCAAACAGATTTAAAGAGAAGTGGGCTTTTCTCCATTTATCAGAGGACATTTCCATTTCTGGAGCTCTTACTTGTGCAAATAGAAATGTTTCAGCAGACTTGCACTAGGGTTTCCCCACAGCATTGATTCATCCTGGTTGCCAGCTAGCAGAGCTAGCTCAGCTTACAGGAGGATGAACTTGTGTACTACGTGCCTGCATTTTTTCTTTTTAAGAGGAGTTAGGGCTATGATTTTAGCAGTTTCAGTCTCAAATCCCATATACTAAGTCAGTTTTGGGGTCTTCAAAAAAACAGATCAATGGGGCAGCAGCCAAAGCCAACACTGGGACCTGGTGCAACATATTGAATTTTGGTGGTGGCAATTCCTCCAGCCCCTCAAGAAATAATAAACCATTCAAACTGAAGTCTGAGAAAAAGCAACTGGTCTACAGGCCCTAAGGATGTCTTGGTTTCATTTCCACTGTAAATAAACCTCAGGCAGCTTGAATGCCAACATACAAATACCAGTTGTCCATAGAAATAATTCATAATATAGAATTCCACAGTGAAGAAATGACAGATGGAAATAAATGTTTTTATTTCTCTGAAAAACTGACCATCGGTCAATAAAAATGCTTTTCTCACCCCCCAAAATCCAACCCTTCCCCCCCATAGCCATGCAATGGAAACATTAAAGAAAAATTCACTTGATAAGTCGTTTGGGTGGCAGTAAAAACCCTGTAATTAGTATAGAAATCAATTTTTAAAGCTTGCTGCAAAAAAATTATGCTTATGAACAAAATGTTTGACTTCAAATTGAATTCAGTGCCTGTTCAGCATAAAGGAAAATAATTGAATGGGTGGCTCAACTTTCATGTTTTCAGAGTTTACTAAGTTTTCCCCATTGGTTTTTGCTATGCATTTTAGCAGGCATCATAAAACAATGCATCAACTCAACTTGCTTGTGCCAGTCAAGCACTGAGATGATCAGCTTCCTTCTATAGACATGTGGCAATGGAGAGGAAAAACATTCATTGGGCCAGACTGCCTGGCTAGTATGTACCCGAAGACAGGATAAATTAGCAGCACCTATTTACCAGTACTGCTTCTGGAAAGAAAGATTAAACCACTGATAAAAGCAGGACTTCACTTTCTCCAGCACGGAGTCAATTAGCTGAGTGTTCAATGGTACACTCAGTTTTAATGTTCCTCCAAGCATGCCAGGATCCATACTTATATTAGGCAGATGTTTGGTTCATTAAGGAGGCGATGGGAAGAACTAAACCCTGAGTCGATGGTTATTGCAGAAATCCAGCATTTGCATTTCCCAAAGAAAAGGTGAGGACCAAATTCCTCTGCCTGTGTCTCACTGTGGGAAGGGGAGTTGGTGCCATCTGCAATCTCTGCACGCCTGCAGGAGTTCTCATGGCAGCTGCTTAACCAACTTGCTGAAGTACAACATTGGCAGCTACTGCTCACTGCAGCTCTTCCTCTTGTTAAATACAGCACCACTGAGGGCACAAAATTGAGTTAACACTTTCTAATAAAAAATTAATAAATTTAGATGTCAAAATTACTAACCTCCAGAGACAAGCTGACAGTAATCTGGTCCCCCCACTCCCCCTACTTTCCTGGAGAAATTGCTCACTTGTTTGTTGATCAGTTTTTCTAAAGAACATTTTTAAAACACATGGTTATAAACCTCAATTGCAAACAGGACTAATCTCATTTGCTCTCTAAAAATCTACAGCCAGTTTATTCCTGCATACATTTTTCATCAGTCATTAGTGTGAATATTCATGACCTCTTACTCCATGACCACACGGTAACTGCAGAGACATTTACATTCAGGGTCTCAGAGTGATCTTTGATTCCTTCAACAACAAAAGCAGGCTTGGTGAGAGGGTGACCAGACAGTTGAGGATTTGGGAGGAGCACAGTGGTATCTTCAAGGTCATTGACTTGGACAGGCATATGCTGAGCAAGCAAAACCACCAGCAGAGCATAACCTGCTGGCTTTGGGAGCCATGTATTGGAAAGCATCAGAGGCAAAGCTCCTCACCTTCCACACCCTGCCTTTGCAGAAGCTGCAGGCAGCACTGGGGGGAACACTTTTGGGGCTGCTGATGGTCCTGGCCAGGCAGGCTTATGGTGCCTGCATATCAAGGAGCAGGGAAAGGATCTGCACTCCCCCCAGCTCCAGCCTGTGCTGGAGCATAAGCCCATATGCACAGATGGAGGCCAGCAGGGCAGGTCTGGATATGGGAATACTTTTTGGCTGAACAGAGAGGGAAAACACATCCCCGGGGACACTGAGGAGGCCCCAGGAAGTGCAGCTCCACCGGATGCATGGGAGGATTTGTGCAGCAGTCTCTAAGAATCACATCACCTTGCACTGGCACCCATGTACTCTCAAACTCATAGGGACCAGTATCTTTTTGGACATCACAAATTTCATCACTTCCAATGGTTTGAAGATTGTTAAAAATATTTATTTCCCTGGGGTTTAGCTTTCCAACTTCTATGCAGACTAGCAACCAAATTGTGGGCAGTAAGAGCAAGCATTTGTTTATTTTGTAAGAGGATTTCTTGCTGCTAATTGAAAACAAGCATTTTCAATGAGGCAGCTGTTTCAGTACTGTGAATAGACAGATCAGCATCACATTGAAGATCTAATAACCCACTAATAAACCTTAATTTTTAGAGCCCCCTCCCTCACCCATTTTCACATTTCAGCAATTCCAAACCACTGATATGTGCTGCAAGTTATTTAAAGATGTCCTCTGACATATTTTAATAAAAACCAGAAAAAATGTGATTTGTCTTTTTTAGTTACCAGACTATATTAAAAACGTTGTTACATGTATCTGACTGTTTCTTTTTCTTCTTTCTTAAATAAATAGCAAAGTGTGACCAAAATAACCAATGGGACACCAGCACCATTGACTTGATAGAAATTGCTATAGTAGGATGAACATACAGTCATATTCTGTGATAGTGCATAAAAAGAGACTTTGGAGGAAAGGTGGTGGTTGCTGGTGCATCAACCCATGAGCAGTCTGTGCAGTGGCATTGGGATGTGGTGCCTCTGCAAAATCTCACAGGCCTGGAGTTGGTGCCTGCAGAGGAGGCTTCAGTGAGACTCTGCAGGAGAGCAGCTCGCAGGACATCTAAAGCAGGGATGCACAAGGCTGGCCAGGTCACTCTCTAGGCAGAAGAACAATGGCTTGAAATGAGGGAAATGAGCAACCTGAAAACCAAACAGGCTGACTAACACTCAGCAAGGCAAGGGCTTGGAGAGTCAAAGCTGCCAACTCCTTAATCAAGAGGGAATGGTGCAAGGATTCACTGTTACACTGAAGGTTACGGAACCAAGAGTCATGTTTTGATGGGTTTCCCTGGGCTGAGCTGCTGTTATTTTCACATCTGACCAACAGCTTCTCTTCCAACTGGGACAAAGCTTAATAGGGACAGCACTGAAGGAACAGCAGCCACGTGCACCACACCAGAAGATCCCTCAAAAGCCTCTGCTGCCTTTAACTCATTCCACCCTGTGCAGGCAGGCACTGCCTGCCCACTGCCTTGCCCCTCTACAGGCTGGAGTGCAGTGCAACCCCACCTCTCTGCTTCTGTTGGCTTAAACCAGACCCTTGTTATTTTAAACAGGAGTTTATTGTATTTAATACATTATAAAATTTGAAAAAATTGTAGGAAAGCAGCAGATTCAAACCAGAGCATCTCTACCAAATATTAATTATTCTGGCCCCCTTTGAAAAACACAAAACGAAAAACAAAAAAACTCATTCAAAAGAAAAGTTAACTTTTCACATCTGTGAGGGCAGACAAAAAGTGTGCGACTTCTGTACAAACTACATTTAAAATTTCAGCTTTCCAATGCAATGGATGGCCATCTCCTGAACACCTGTCCATCCACCTCTAAAAAAGACAGACATAAACCTCCATATGCAAATAAAGTTGAATCAAGGTGTGTACACATTAAAAAGTGGATGTTTGTTTGGCAATGAAAATGGGTGAAGAGTAGTCTATGAATCCCCCCCTGGCAATGGCTTGTACACCGTTAAGTGGGCCTGGGAATGGCCTAGGACACTTAATGGCCATCACAGCACCAACCTCATCTACCACATTTTGTCATTGCATTTCCTACCCTTTGACATATACATACATATATATATGTACAGACATACATATACATACATATTTTTTGTGTGTGTATTTTCTTTTATACCTTGAGGTTATTATTATTATCACTACTATTCCAAGTGTTCCCATATGAATTCAGGTGTGGTCTCTATATTTGATATAAATGTGTCTTTTATTCAATTTTAGTTCCAGGACTTGTTTGGAGTCCAAACTGCACATGAAATGTCCCCCTTTTTTTTTTCCTCCGTTTTCCTTTTTTTTTTTTTTTTTTTTTGCATAAAGAAACATGTCCATTTAGTCCAGAGGCTCTTGCTTTATTCGAATGACAGAGGGTGCACGAGATGTCCTTCTGAGTTCTCGTCTCAGTACGTATTCACTGAATTGGGAAGAGTCCACCCCACCTCCACATGAGCCAACAATCTCAAACCCTCTTTGCTGTAACCTCTCAAGTACCTGAAAAAAAGAGGAAACAAACCAATGTATGAATAAATAAACAGACTATTTGCTGTCCAATGATAATAACTGCTCTTTTCAAATTGATTCAGCTAGGGACAAAAAAAAGTGGTTACATAGCTTAACTGTACTGGATTGATTTCTGCTGACTATGGCCACTGAGCAGTGAAAAAGAAAAAAATGAAGAAAAATGTTATTTTTTTAGTACTACCAACAAATCTGGTCTTCATCTGGTCACAGAAACATGACTAGAAAAACACGCTCTCTGCTTCACAGAATTTACAACACAAAAGGACAAATACATGATTGCACAGCAGATGCTGAGCAAACACCTCAATGAAATGGTGACAGTGTAGATAACATGGTCATAATTTCAGAAAACCCACCATGATATTTACTAGAGACTTAAAAACCAGCTCTTTGTTACTTTTATCATCATCTTTGCCTGTTCTGGACTTCCTCTGCCTCACCTGTGAAGGAGATATCCTGGGATTTACCAGGGTCAGACTGGGACAGCCACCAGGCCCAAGGAAGGCGCTGATGCTCCTGGACCCCACAGGATGTGGGACCCTCTATTCAGCATGACAAGACCTCACAAGTGGAATTCATGATGCCTACCATGGCTTTCCCAGCTGTTTCACCAGTTGTCAAATTGGCTTGCATGCATGCTAGGACAACACTGGCAAGCAGAATGGCAGAAAGCTGTAAAGGACTAGGGCAGGGGAAGAAGCAAGCTGAGGTTTAAAAATGCTTTAAAGAAGACATGCCACATCTTTATATAAAAATGCTTCAGGTTGGCAAATGTCTTTCCAAAGTACTTGAGCATGGCTAATTGCACAGCAGTCAAATCAAAAAGGAAAGAGTAGGACATGAGACTTGGAAACAGCAATCAAAACACATGTGATCTTTAGTTTTTAACAATGTATGCCAAAATCCCCTGCCCCTGCCCAAATGTGTTGGTGCAAGTCACTGAAAAACAGAACAGGAGAACTTGGGTCCTGAGAAAAAATACGGTGAAAGCAACTCTGGAAACTAGCTTATGCATTTGGTCTGTACCTCACTCTTTAGGTCTATTGGTACTTCTTGTCCTGTCTCCCATTTTTATTATTACTGGGAGATGATTATCCTCCTGTTTATCAGTGTGGGATCATTACCTCTCTTGAATCCTGTAAATATTTTGCCCCTCTGACTCAGGTTTTTCACATCAATAAATATGCTTTGTAATTCTTATTTGTGCAACAAAATTGTAAGAATCAGAATAAGTGACAAAGTGCTGAAGGATACAACTGCCTTGATAACTACCATATGGTGCAGCTAAGCAGCCATCCTTGAAACTCCTTCAGTTGTAATCTGACATCTAAGGCTGTCCTAAATTTGCATTAATCTCTATGACAAACAATTTTGATGTTTCAGCATGACAGTCAAGGCCGGTAAGAGACAACTGTCCAAGCAGAACATGGGTTAGATAGGTCTAGACAGGTCTATCTAGACCCTTGTGTTAAGTGCTAGCACAAGTGCAGTGCCTGGCCAGCCTTCAGAGTGTGCCCTAGTTCTCAGCTTGCTTCATCTGCAGAAAAAGAGGCTCAGGGGTGACCTTCTTCAACTCCCTGAAAGGAGGCTGTAGCAAGGCAGGTGTCAGGCCCTTCTACCAGGAAATCAGCAACAAGTCAAGAGGAAATGGCCTCAAGATGCACCAGGGGACGTTCAGGTTGGGTTGGACATCAGAAAGAATTTCTTCACTATTAAGCATTGGAATGGACTACCCAGGGCAGTGGTAGAGTCAGCATCTCTGGAAATATTCAAGAAATGACTGGATGTGGCACTTAGTGCTGTGGTTTAGTTGGCGTGGTGGTGTTTGATTAAAGGCTGAACTTGTTGATCTTGGAGATCTTTTCCAACCTTAATGACTGTGATTCTCTGCCTGGACAGTGGGACCTGGCAGATAAAAAGATGCCAAGCTCAGCTTGTGTGTTCTGTACAAGAATTCACTCATGATCCTGTAGCGTTTAGGAGGTGTGTTTAAACTGAACAGCATTGATGGTGCTACTGATGATTCCACATGGGAAGTGCTGGCTACGAGGTTGGTTCCTTTCAACCAACAAAGGATAAAAACATAACACTAACACTGAAGTTGATTATAATTATTCCAGGAGTGCATTTGTCTCCCAGCTTTTTATTATCCATTTCATAACATCTACCGATTTTAGACATTGCTACATTGCATCATAGAATACTTTGAGTTGAAAGGGACCTTTAAAGATCATCTAGTTCAACCCCTCTGCAATGAGCAGGGACATCTTTAACTAAATCAGGCTGCTCAGAGCCCTGTCCAGCCTGACCCTTGAACATTTCCATGGGTGGGGCATCTACCACCTCTCTGGGCAACCTGTTTCAGCGTTTCATCACCCTCACTGAAAAATTTTCCTCCTTTTACCTAGTAAAAATCTACCATATTTTAGTTTAAATCATTACCCTTTGTCCTATCAATTGCAACAGGCCTCTACTATGCTATAAAAAATCAGGAAAAAATACTGAAAGTGAAAGTGAAGGGTTTTCCCTATGACCACAGAAAATTCTAATACTACTGCAGTTTGTTTGCAAAGAGATTTGGTGATACGTGAATGAAAGGGAGAAAGACAACTCGACACACAGAAGTAAATAACTTGCTTGAAGCCTCCAGCTGATTCTGCTCACCAAAACACTCCAGTGACATGGAACAGGGTCAGCCTTTTCAAAAGGGCTCCCTTTCAAAAAATGCACACATGACTTCCTACCTGAACTGAGTTGAGGTGACAGTATCCGTTCAGCGGGAATCGGATGACGTGTGTGGAGTCGTGGTTCCAGCCGGCGTTGACAGAATTACACATCACATCACCGATCTCTGGGAACACCTCCTCTATCAAGGATTTATCTCCACTCAGTGTGATCCTCTCGCCCAGGTCCGGGGCAACTCGCACCACCAGGCACTCGCAAGACTTTGAGAAGCGGCCGCTCTCCCGGTCCTGTTTCCACCGTTCCATCTCTCCTAGCATGGGCTGAAGCTGGAAATACTTTGCTTCTTCATATAACAAGCTGTAGTCCTGAAAGACACGTACATTACTGTGCACAGTTAAGAGAGGCATTGCTGATGGGGTGCTTAAGGTGTATGGGGACTCAGGTCAGCCCTGCTCCTAGGTCTTCACACAGAGCTCCTAATGACTGTGTAGGAAGGTGTAATAAAGTAACAGTGCCAGCAAAAAATAACCATCAGCCACTTGAAACACAAAGGGTGTAACAGCACTTGTAAGAGTAAGGAAGGGCTATGCTTGCTTGCTTCTGCAAAAAAAAAAAAAAAAATCACACTTTTCTCCATATTTCATCCCCACAGTGATGTCATATAATAATGATCTCATTGAACAGATGGAACAGAATTCAATCAGGATTCAGAAAATTCATCACTAGGATCCATTGTGTCTTACAGCAATACTAGCAGGCATTGTAACAGGTATAAGAATGTAAATGAGGGAGCCTGCAATGGTTGTTAGTGTAAAATGATTCAGATATTTGCATAATGTTTGCACATATTAGTGCATTTTAAAAATTAAGTATTTTTTAATACTTCCCTATTTTGCCACTAGTATTGTTTACTACATCATGTCAAATGTCAGAGCAGAGGGAATGTATTTCTAGGCATTGCCACTACAGACGTAATTTAGAACTGATGATGTGGAGTCTGCCTGCTGCCATTTTTTTAATTTAAAAAACATTTTTAAAAAAAATCTTGTTTTCCTAGGTGTAAGAGCATAAAACTATTTGGAAAATATTTTTACAGAGAAAAGAGATATATGAGAGAGAAACAGATTGATAAGAGAAGCCTGCTAACAGTCAATATGATCCTGAATTTAAACTAGAAACCAAATACTTGATGAGGACACTTAAAATATGGTAAAAATACTGCTTACATTTATTGTGTAACAAAAAAGTAATGTAATCTATGTATTTCTAAGCAACAAGAAACACTGTCCATTTTAATCACTGGTTTTTTGTACTCTTTAAAGCGTAACTGGGGAGGACACCCTTTGAACATCACAGATGGGTGAACTTGCCAGGAGTTAAATTTTTAATTTCAGCACAGCTACAGTGTATTTATGTGCTTAAAAGGCTCTACATATGTAATTTCTTAATATTCCATGAAGGGTGCTTTTCCTTTTTCTGTATTTCTGATGACCTGCGGAATTGCCAAGAGCAGCACAAAGCCATGCTAAGGCTTTAAAAGAAGAAAATGATGCTTATCTGTTAGCTCCAAACTCCCACATTATTCAGAGAGATCTACCCTTGTCACATATAGGAGCAGCAAGGATGATGATGATTCAAAGGCTGCTGAAATACAGCTCTTGAACTCAGCCTCACAGCTATTATCCCCAAACTCCTGGAAAACTGTCTCAGCTACGAGGGGAGAAGGACTGCATACCAGTGTGAGCTGCTCCATCCCTGCCTCATCACCCATCACCTCTCCTGTTCAATCCCAGTTGCTGCATTTCCTGCAGTGAACCAGGTGCACTGATGTGTGATCATTGGGTAAAGGTAAGGATCTTTTCTGATCGAAGACACCACATATACAACCTCATACCTACCAGCAGATAAACATCACACGGATTCTGAAGCTCTGCCTCTGTAGGCTTTGCCTGACAGTGAACTACCACTAATTCAATTTGTTACTAAAAACTAAAAAAAAACCAACCAGGCTCTTTATTAAAGTTTAAATAATAAACATAGAACCATTCATTCCTGACTTCTCTAAAACTCCAGAATTAAACTTGTAGTATGCATTCAAGAGTCTGAGGGAGAAAAGATTCTATCACTTAATGACCCAAATATTACCATGTGTGCTGTTTATTTTGTCAGTGTTGTGATTCACACACCATTTTCTGAATTTCAGTATGAGAGCAGAATCTGGAGCTGCTGCACTCACTGGGGAAGCATAAAAATGGACGAAAGGACAAGTAATCAGCAAAGCTCATGAGCAGTCAGTTGCAGATTGTTAACATCGCTTCTATTTCCATGAGTATGATACTACATTTAATTTCCTTAGGTCAAATCTGGCAAGGCTGTTTTATCACCACTATAGCCAGGAGGGGAACGTTTAATATTGATGCCACTCTAGGAAAGGAAAACACCACTTTAGCAACCCCACTTCTTACTTTTGCCATGTACCTCAAATCAAACACCATACCTGGCAAGTTCCCCTTCCCTATCCAGGGCTCTGTTTCCACTACACACCAGACACTTGCTTTACCAAGGTACATGCAAAACACCCAAGTCCCTTGAAATCTCACCTTGAAATCATCAGGAATGAGGAGTTTTGATGTCCTTAAGAAATTCAAGATATATCTGAACATCTGCCCATCTCTGTCGATGAAATAATGCTGTTTGAGACTGTCGAGGACAATGGGCTCCGTGCCATCGAAAAGCCGGCCAATTCTGGAGAGGAAACAAGAGACAAGGAGCACAGTCAGACCAAGCTCAGCTCCAGAGCTGCTCAAATGGCCCAGCACTACAAAACTCTGCCATGCAAACTTCACTGAAGCAGCTCTGTGGCTTTGTTTCATTAGAAAAGGGCTGGTTACAAACCACTGTGTAAGCCACATATTTTCCAGCATGGCCTCATTAAGTTCCAAGCAGCACAGCTGGGGAGGTGGAAGGGAAGCAGCAGGCCAGCAGCCTCTCCCACCCACCTCACTGCCCCAGTCTTTATCTCATAAGATGACAACTCCTCAGTTATTTTGGATACCTCTTTTGATAGTCCCCTTCAGCACAGGCCATCCCCTCTAGATGCTCCAACGCCCTGGACTGACTTATTCCAGGGCACTGCATAGGGAACTTGATTTAGTTTGGAAACTGTACCCAGGGAATAGTTTGGTTTGGTTCTTTGCTTGGTTTTCACTCGTTTTTTAAACCCAGGTCAATTTTGGCTACCATTTACTGCGACCAACACTAGGGCAGGCACAGTTGAGGTGAGGGGCAGCACATTGTGGTAATATAAAGATAGGGGTACAGAGTTGATAACATTTCAATGTGAGGCAATTCTTTAATGCAAAAGTTAAGTGCTTGTGGCAGGTGTCAATCAGAACACTGAAATAATACCGAAAAAATGTCTCAGCTTTTAGACACCACCCACTGAGCACCAGAACCATGCAGCCACCTAGAGAGCCTTTGCTTGGCAACAGGTCTTGCAACATCAACCACTGGGTGCACATACATTTCTGGATGTGGGTCTCCCAAACCAGCTTTAGTTAGAGCAATGGGAAGGGCTGGAAATGCCAAACAAAACCCTCAGAGTAACACCAAATAAATGTTTTGTTTCTGCACTGGGGCATTTGCAAATCACTCCTGAGTCACTGGTGGTTTCCCAATGAAATGAGCAGGACTGACTGGCAGGTCTGATGTTGTGTGCCTGTTCATATGTCTGTATGTGCCATGTGGAAGTACTTTTTGACAACAAACAGTCAAGATGGCACACTATTTTTGTTTTGTTTTAAAAGCAGTGAATAAACAACAAACCCTCAATTAAAAAAAGAAAATTAAAAAATAAAAAAAAATTTAGAAAGCCACCAAATACTCAGAGGTGACCAGCCCTCCTGGCTGCACGAAGCACCCCAGGCTGAGAGATGCTCCATCCACTGTCCAGCAGAAGGGGATGTCCAGAAGGCATTCAAGAGGTAAAAGAGGCTCCCAAAGAGGGGGAGGTAGCAGGGCTTGCAGCAGGGTCCCAGGGAATTGCAGAGGGGCAAGGCTCCAGGTCACCATACACTGTGTTGCATCAACAGCCAAATATCCTCTCTTTGAAAATGGCGCAGTATTCCAAATTGAGTTTGGAATGATGTCTGTGCCTGGAGCAGGTATATATATAAGTTGTGAACAGAATACATATCTCATCTATAGTTTCTCACCAGCTGGGAGGAGACCAGGAAAAAAATAAAACTCCATTAACCCCAGCTGGCCATTTATAATTCTGTAATAAATGCCTGAATCAATTTAAGTTGAATGAAAACTGTAACATATAAGGAATTAAATATATTTTGCATCATGAGCAGGTTCAGAACACTTTTTTTCAAAGCCATCCCTTGAACTATTCAAGCTTTTTTCCTCAAAGACTTGTTACTGCCTGCCCTGCTGCTCAAAATTTAAGCTGCGACAGCCCATATAACTCAGGCTCCTGTTCACTTGGTGAATGAGCCACATTTTACGTCTAATATGGAAGTACTCAGCATTTAGAATTAATTTTCCCTTACACTCAAGCATGTCATCTTCAAATTTATCACGGAATTCACACACAAAACATGTATTTGGCCAAGTCAGTCATTACTGAAATGTATAATTGTAATTGGTTTCTGCAGCATTTTCCTAGTTCTAAATTACTTATATAATTACATATTTTAAACCTCTAGGCTTTTTGTCTCCATTTTATTAATTGTTTAGAGAAGAGCAAGATAGTATCAGAGGATGGAGCCTTCTAACAAAACCATAATGCTGAGGAAAGTGTTCAGCCACTGGGAGTGCTACCTGGGACCTGAATAGCTTTGGGAATGGGCTGGAAGCATTAACAGAAAGCACTCCTTAGTGCTCTGCTGCTCTGCAGCAGCAAAATCCCAGGAACTGCAAAGTCCATACTCCCTCCCGACTCCCCTCCCAGGATCACTCTGCATTACACAACTGCACTTTCACATATTAATATAGCATTGGAAGGGAAAACCCCCAGCAGAGAGACTTCTGTAAAGAAAATTAAAACCTTTTTCCTTTTCAGATGGAAAAATGTAGATTCCAGCTTCCTTCATATGTCCTTCAGGGAAAATCTTGGGATACTGTGGGATCCAAATCTGGTGTTATGGTCCTGCTCCTAATCTGCATTTGCTACACACATCAGGAGAGGAGACTGGGCTATGCCAGGATCCGGGGAACAACCAGCATCCTCACCTTCCAGCCTCATCAGGAACTCTCGGGTTCCTGGGGGCACAGTGGGAAGCACTCCTTCATGCCTCACTTGTCACCTCCTCTATACAATACAATTTGATAACCATCCTCCCTGCCACCCATAGCTCTGCTGGCACTCCTGCTTGGTCTCACACTGGGATTACACATGCTTAAGTGACACCAGTTTGCTGGCACAAGAAGGGTCTTTAATAAGGTAAGTAATTACAATACTTTACTTACAATAAGCTAAGTCATAATTTCACTTCCCAAGAAAACCTGAAAGATGTTTTTTCCCATCTCCTTGACAATGTTGGCCGATGATTGGCAAAGACACCTTTCTTTTTTAAATGAGAAATGCGTAACAGCTAAATGGAGTTTCGAGACAGGAAAGCACTTTGAAGGAGGCTTGCAAAATAAGATGATAATTATATGCAGAATTAGCCAAATATCAAGGGTAAAGGATAAGAAACTGTAGTCCATTTACAAGAAAATGTGCTTCTGAAATATTTAATTAAAACTAACAGGCTGGAATTTTCCATATATCAGGAAAATTAATGTCCCATGGGTTGAAAGTGTGACCTCCAATGGGTAATAATTAATGTCTGTGGCTTTAAGTATCATATTCCACTGTCAGAAATCGAATGCTTCAAGGGTTGAAAATATAACCAGTGGAAAACCCTGTTTCCATCAGAGAATTTGATTTTACTTAAAGGACACAAACTAGGTATAGACGAGCCCTTGTTTACTGGGGAAAAAACAACGAAATGGAAAAGATTATTGTTTTAATTCCATAAAATACTACAGGGATGGATCTTTCTTACCACAGATCAGCACTCCCATAACAGCATTTCTATACCAAAAAGCTAGCACAGGAAGATTACATTGCTTGCAGGATTTCTCAAATTTTTCAGAAAAAAAGTCCTGCTTGTCAAGTATAAAAATATACTGTCTGCAGCAAAACTGTATACATAGTGTGTTTATAGCCTTGCTCTCTCATTCTATAAATATTTAAATATATTATTATTATACACATAAAGAGAAAAGACTTCACTTTAGCATATTCTGCCTCAGCTGGAAATGTGGGAAAGCAGCAATAATTAGGAACAAGATGGCCAGTACTAATTAAACAAGTCAACTATTGCAAAACTCTCTTAATGCCAAGAAAAATGACAGTGTTCTGCAGATTGTTTTAATGGCTTCACTGGACAGAGCTAAAATTCTTCCTTTCTGTAATCAAAAGGATACATGGAACATGGAAAAGCTGCAAGCCTTGATGTTTGCAAACATGCAGAATATTACATCACTTTCAAACTAAGGTAGAAATAAATATTTTTCTTCTCTGAGAAAATACAGGTTTCTTATAATTGAATATATTCAGTATATCATTTCTCATATTAACGTCTTTATCAGAGAACAATACAAACTCCAAACTAACTGAAAATCTTTTGCAATAAATGACTTTCAACAGTTCCGAGCTGTCAGAGCTCCCTCTCCCCATGTCTTTCACAGAACAACAAAAAGGGAGGAAAACTGGTGAGAAGTCCTTTTCTTAACCCATCAGAGGGGGATGTGCAGCAGGAGGAGCATCAGTGATGCCCTGGAACCTGCAATCCACACTAATTGCAAGATTTCTGCCTGGATTTCACCAGGGCAGGTATTCAGCAGCTAGTAAAGAGCAAAATACTCAAGAAAACGCATCTCTCTCCCTCCAATAACGAATCACATGACAAAGTAAATGTAATTTCTTTGAAATCTTACTCATCTGGTCGGAGCCACTGCAGCAAAGGGATTAGGAGTTTGGTCCTTAGAAGTTAAGTGCAAGTTTTATTATCACATCATTATATTTATGTGGCTAATGAGAATGCTTATTTAACACTCTGGAGTGTGTGGAGACTAAGCTGGGACGGGTTTTACTTTTTTTTTTCCTCTGCAACTTTTTTAGTCCGAGCTGTCCTTATTAATTTCTTTTCATTTTCTTTTACTGAGTGCTCAAAGGCAATTTGCATAAAAGTCCATTATAAATTAGATCTGTTTAATGGTATGCTCATCTCATGGGTATTTAATTTTACTTCCTCGTATGTCTAAATTATATAATTTTGCACTGTCCCCTAGCAGCTAGTATAGTTGAAGAGGTATCCATGCCAGTGAGAAATGTTATCCTACCCAAGTGGAGAATGATGAGGCTTCTATTCTTTTCATTTCAGAGAACCACTTTGACAGTATCAACCTGCTTTTCTTTTTTGAATAACTCATATCATTTGGATCCATAGAGACTGAATATATAGCAACCTTTATAACTCTGCATAACAAAAGTTGGCTCATAAACATAACAGAATACATTTGCAATTTTCAGGAACATATATTATGAAAACCGCATTTTAACCAAATACCCTGTTGTAATCTCTTGCTCTCTGTGCTATTAAAATTTGCTCTTATCTTTTTCTTCTTACATTTAATTTAAGGTTTCACGTCCATGAGTCTCAGGAATTCCTTGGCACATACAGTTCCTA